TTTTTTTTTCCTCTTAAATATAGTACAAGATTACACGAAAACTGATTATTTTAAGCAATATATATTTTTTCTGGATCTCTGGTATGCATTCAAATAGAATTGATTCTATACTTAGAATGCATCTATATTTGCTAAATAATTCTCCTAGATTGCATGAAGATTGCTAAATAATTCTACTGGATTGCATGAAAATTTCTACTCCCTTCTGAGTTTTAAGGAAGTAAGTTTATGATCATGTATAGTTTTTTATACTTTTGAAATTATGAGGTGACTAATAATTGCAATATCTTTCTTTTTAAGTTTTAAAAAAAGGCTATCACTACTCTATTGATAGATAAAGTATTATAATAGTGAAAACCCCAAACGCTGAGTTTTCACTATTACAGTATTAGACTATAGCTAAAAGTCAAGATACAGTTTTGTTAGAGCCTATTTTTTTGTTTAATTAATTTTGTTTAAACTGTCATTACTGATTATCAGTGTGGTTACTCAGTATGAGATAATACTCAGTAGGGTGCTCATTTAATTTCCCCTGAAGATAAGCGACATTAATTTATACAACTTAGTATACCCCAGACACATCCAAAGTCATATTAATTAAGTGTACCACCTCTAAGTGGCATTATGATACAATTCCCTCAGTCTTCTTTGTGTTTAACTGATACTTCAACAGAGGGAAATTGTTTACTTCACCTGCCTTGGTTGTATTTCTAGCCCAACTTTACAATAAGAACTTCATATAAAATTAACAGTGGCTACCCAAGTACACACGTTGTAAAACATACGTAAACTGCTTACAACCAAATCACCAAATACAAAATAACAACCAACTTAAGAGTCAGTATGACAGATTTCTATTGTGTTTTTGTGTACAAAAGTGTATCGCTCTTAAGTTCTGTGCTTTGCTTTAAGTAAATTGTATATAAATTCCATGAAAGATAAATTAGGAGAGGGATTTTTCCATTTATGCAGGGAGTTATCATAGCATTCCATTAAAAAATAAAACTTCTTTAGAACACTTAAAACGATTCGATAGTAGAATTCACTTTGCACGTAGATTTGTACTAGCGCCCAGATTATGTGGAATGTACCTGTAGTTCTTCACAGAGCGTCATGTACCTGGGAATGCTTTTACTTTAACCCTGAGGATTCACCAAATTCAGTTTACTGTACTAGCATAAGAGGAAGGATTTTTTTCTCCCCCATGACTCTTTCCTTACTTTGTCTTTCATCCCTTCTAATCAGCAAAAATAAAAGCATTATATAGAAATTATGAAACACTAATCCTTTTGTATGTCATATTAGTCTTTGGACCTTTGTAGATTTAAAAGCTAGATGAGGGATATGCTGATTTTTCATATCTTGCCTTTAGCAGCTATGCTGGTGATAATGTGCAGATGTGTTTTTCTGCTTGGGTGAAACCCAATCTTTTCCCAGAGTTTTGGTGTTAAGCATAGGGGAGAGGTGTGCTTATTTTCAGCCTATTTTATTATTATTATTATAAATTATGATATTATATATTGATATAAATGCACTTCTACTTCTAAAAAGGTAGTGTGTCCCCCCCCACACCTCCCCTTTAGGCTATTCTAAACACTATGAGATTTTTTATGTATAAGAATGCTTTGGAGCTTGCTCTTAATTGTTTAGACGTGCAATTTCCTCGTTATAATGATTAAACAAATGCATTCAGCCTGTTGCATTTCAAGCTTTTAACACACTGCCTGGCATAGAAGGGGCTCAATAAATATTAGCGATTGTTTTTATTAATTTTGGAGATTCGTATTTTAAAATTTTTTGTTTTTTGGTCGAAACTAAAATTTTTTGATATTTTCTTTCACTGATAGAACCATTAGGTTATGCATTTACAAATTAGCCTGTGAAATGCTTAAGCTTACTATTCCCATTTATTGACATGTTTACATTTATAATATTGATGTTGCATTAATGATGTTTTGCTTAATTTCACTTCACTATAAGTTTAGCATATTAATTAAGTTACCTGCTTTTTATTTTTTTGTGAAGAGGAGTCAGGATAGTTTCTATTATCAGTAATTGATATTACCTGGATGTAAGTGATGGCAATGAAGTAGTGACTCAGGATAGAGTGACCAGTTCTATTTCCTTTCTTTTTTAATTTTATTTATTTTGTTGTTGTTGGGAATATACACAGCAAAACATACACTAATTCAACAAATTCTGCATGTAGCATTTAGTGACACTGATTACATTCTTTGAGTTGCACAACCCTTCTTACCCTCCTTTTCTGAGTTGTTCCTTCTCCATTAACATAAACTCACTGCCCCCTAAGGTTCCTATCTAATCTTTCGAGTTGCTGTTGTCATTTTGATCTGATATAGATAGTTCTTAAAAGAGCATAATGCTCAAGTCAGACTTTTTTTTACTGGTTAAGCTAAACTATTGTTTGGTTTTAAGAAGACTTCAGGGGGTATTTTTGGTTTAAGGTTTACAGATTATCTCAGGGCAGTAGTTTCAGGAGTTCATCCAAACTTCAAGGCTCCATGAAGTCTGGATTCCATGAGAATTTGAAATTCTGTTCTATATTTTTCCCCTTTTGATCAGGATTCTTCTACAGAATCTTTGATCAAAATGTTCAGTGATGGTAGCCGGACACCATCCAATTCTGGTCCTGTGGCAAAGGAGGCAATTGTTCATGGAGGTAGTTAGCCACACATTCCATATCCTCTTCCTGTACCTGACTCTCCTTCCTCTGTTGTTCCAGATTCATAGACACCAATTGTTGTGCCTTGGATGGCCGCTTGCAAACCTTTAAGACCCCAGGCACTACTCAATGAACTAGGAAATAGAACAGAAGCACTAAAGATGTAATTAGGCCAATTAACTGGGATGTTCCATGAAACCATGACCCTAAACCTTCAAACCAGGAACCAAATACCAAGAGGTTTTTGGTTTTATATAAGCAGACTTAGCGAGACTTAGCAGTTACTCTTTTCTTTTTTTTTTTGGTTTGATGGTAGTTCTATTTTTAGTTTTTTTAGGAAATACCACACTCTTTTCCTCAGTAACTGTACCATTTTTCATTCCCACCAGTAACGTATAAAAAAAGGAAAACCAAGCCCGTTGCCATTGAGTTGATTCTGACTCCTGGTGATCCTGTAGGACAGAGTAGAGCTGCCCCATAGGATTTCCAATGAGTGGCTGGTGGATTCGAACTGCTTACCTCTTGGTTAGCAGCTGAACTCTTAACCACTGCGCCACCAGGGCTCCTTCCAGTAATGTTTAAGGGTCCATATTTCCCTACATCCTCACCAACATTATTTATTTATTTATTTTTTATCCTAGCCATCCTGTTGGAAATAAAATGGTATCTCATTGTGATTTTGATTTGCATTTCTCTGATGGCTAATGACGCTAAGCATGTTTTCATGTCTGGTGGCCATTTGAATGCCCTCTTTGGTGAAACGTCTATTCATATCCTTTGCCCATTTTATGATTGGGGTTATCTGTCTTTTTGTTGATATGTTGTCAAAGTTTTATATATATTTTTGTCGTTAGATTCTTATCGGCTATGTAGTTTCCAAAGACATTCTTCCAGTCGGTAGCTTGTCTTTTCATTTTTTGGTAAAGTCTTTTGATGAACAAAAGTTTTAAATTTTTATGAGGTCTCATTTATTTATTTTGTCTTTTGCTATTTGTGCTTTTGTTATTATATTAGATAATTCATTGTTAAAAGCTAGGCCCCAGAGTGTTGCCTCTGAATTTTCTTCTAAGAATTTTATAGTTGTAGTTTTCACTCTTAGGTTCTTAATCCATTTTGAATTTGTTTTTGTGTATGGTGTGAGGAATGGATCTGGTTTCATTTTTCTGCATGTGGAAATCCAGTTTTCCCAATATCATTTATTGACGAGACTCTTCCTTTCCCATTGAATGGACTTCGCAACCTTGTTGAAAATCAGTTTACCACAGATGTATGGGTTTATTTCTGGACTCTCAATTCTATTCCATTTGTGTATGTGTCTATTGTTATATCAGTACAGGCTGATTTGATTACTGTAGCTGTATAATATGTTTTTTATATCAGGAAGTGTGAGTCCTCCTACTTTGATTTTCTCTTTCAACATTGTGTTAGGTATTCGGGGCCCTACAGTAACTTTTTAAAGTACACAGCCAAGCTGAAAAATTCACAGGATCTTTGATTTTGTCTTTTGAGTATGCTTCTGTTTTTAATACCTAATTTAGTTAAAAACTTTTTGCCTTTTTGAGTGCTGCCACTTGAAATACTTGGGTTCTTTGTGAGGAATAGAACTTAAAAAATTCAAGTAGCTCTGGAAATCAGAATTTGAACTAACATCTGTGAGTTTTCAATTATCAGCAAACTATTTGATGATCCAATTGTAGAAGAAATGCCATTATAACAAAATTCTTCATTTATTGATGCTTTAGCCACCTTACTCTGTAGAAGTTCATGAAATTCACACACCTGCCAGCCTCAGCAAACAGAAATGCGCTGTTTGTCAGGCCAACAGGCTATGAAGATAAGAGTTGAATTAAATTCTCAAAATTTCTAAATAATTTTTCTCCCAGAAGGTAGTATGATTATGCAAAGGACACTGGATAAGGGGCATGGCGGAGGGGAAAGATACTGAGACCTAATTTGTTTGCTGCCTCTAAGTTGCTAAATTACCTTTGTAAAACTGCTTAGTTTGCTGATCTGTAAAGCAAAATTTACTATCACTGAATTTTCAATTATATAATTCCATGATTATAAGATTAGTAGGAATCTTGAGGCCATCTGGATTTTTCCTGCCTTTAGACAGGGTGGTTATTAAAAAACTTTTCACTTCCTTTTTATTTTTATTATTATTTTTGAATTTTAAAAATTCCAGTGCTAAATGTATCTCAGTGGCATCACAGTGATAATGTAATTGACCCTTAAGTTTTTTTCTATTTTATGAATTACATAAATGATATTGGTGAAGGAAGTACTTAAATGTGTACTATTTTATCTTTCTTTGTAGTTGGACAAATTTGCCAGCATACGAATTCCCGGGAGCAAAAAAGAGAGACCGCCGCTCTCCAACCTGAAGACTGCGTTTACAAGTAACGATTGCTCATCAGCATCTTCAGAGATGATGGAAAACAACCCAAAGCCACTTTCAGAGAATGAAGTCTTGGAACTTTTTGAAAAGATGATGGTAAGAGTTGTTTAAGGGTCACACCTTAGCTTCTTCTCATGTTAGTGGAACATGAACTATATTTGGAGCTCATGATACAGACTTAGAGTAATTTTTGATGTCACTTGAGATAGTACGTTTAGGCCTTTAGGATTACAAAGGTAAAAATCCAAACAAAAACATCACACCAGTTTTTACTTTCATACAGAATATAGAAAAACACTTTAAAGCATCAGATGGTAGATTTTTGTCTCAAATGGATTATGGAAGTGGTCTGTCTGGGTTCTGTTGCACTTTATAGTGAGGGTTACGCTGTTGTGCTGTTTGTGTTAAGTGAGCTGTTTTTTTTTTTTTTTTTTTTACCCTACTTGTTTTATTTCATTCTTAATTCTCAAGATAACCAGGTTCTTTCTATTCCTGCAACAATTATATCTGTGTAGACTTGAACACGCTCTTTTTTGGGCTGTGCCTTTTCTGGTAAAGACATGTATGTCGTTTGGTGCCTTCTTGGTTTCAAACAATGGTAATTCTTCAACTGACTGAGCACCTGCCTTTTAATCTGGCTGAACTAATTTGACCAGTAACCTACATATGTTAAGTATATTCAAATCATTACCACTAAACTAATGCTAACTTAATCAAAATAAAGTTATTTACATATGTAGTGTTTATACTGAAGTTGCCTGTCCCCTAGGATTCACAGCGATGAATCCTAAGGTCTGAAAAATTAAATGAGTAAGAATTGCCACAAGGTAGTATTTAATGATTTTTTTTTTATAACTTCAGAGTAGGAAGAAATTGTCTTAATTTTTAAGATACCTAATTAGCTTCAAGGAAAATGAGAATAGAAGGGATATTCTAGAAGTCTAGGCAAGTTTTGTGGAGACAGGGAACTAGACCTGGGACTTAGAGGATGATACCAAAACCAAACCAAATCCATTGCCGTTGAGTCAATTCCGACTCACAGAGACGCTATAGGATAGTAGAACTGCTCCATAGGGTTTCCAAGGACCACCTGGTGGATTCGAACTGCTGACCTTTTGGTTAGCGGCTGTAGCTCTTAATTACTACGCCACCAAGGTTTCCTAAAGGAGGATAGGATTTGGATAAAAGTGTGCATTCTGTTGAGGTAGGGGAAACAGCAATGAGCAAAGACATAGAACTAGGGTACAAATAACTCATGGGAGGACCAGTAGGAGGTTGGAAAAATTAGATTGGAATGACAGTTTGGCACAGATTATGAAAGGGTTTTCTATGCCATTCTAAGGTGTTATGTGTTATTTCAGAGTTGTGATTTATCTTCTATGTATCTTCTTTCATATGTTGGTATAGAATGGCTTTATTAGCTTTCTGGTTCTTAGGGAAATCATTTCACGCAACTATTTGGCAGTGTGCATGTTGCTGTGATGCTGGAAACTGCCACCAGTATTTCAAATACCAGCAGGGTCACCCATGGTGGAAAGGTTTCAGCGTAGCTTCCAGCCTAAGATAGACTGGAAAGAAGGACTTGGCAATCTACCTCTAAAAAAATTGACCAGTGAAAACATTATGAGCAGCAGCGAAACATTGTCTGATATAGTGCCAGAAGATGAGCCCCTCAGGTTGGAAGGCACTGAAAATACAACTGGGGAAGAGCTGCCTCCTCCAAGTAGAGTTGACCTTAATGACATAGATGGAGTAAAGTTTTCCAGACCTTCATTTGCTGATGTGGTGCGACTCAAAATGAGAAGAAACAGCTACAAACATCCATTAATAATTGGAACATGGAATATACAAAATATGAATCTAGGAAAATTGGGAATTGTCAAAAATGAAATGGAAGGCATAAACATCGATATCCTAGGCATTAGTGAGCTGAAATGAACTGATATTGGCCATTTTGAATCCAATAATCATATGATCTACTATGCCGGGAGAGACAACTTGGAGAGGAATGGCGTTGCACTTGTCGTCAAAAAGAACATTTCAAGATCTATCCTGAAGTGCAACATTGTCAGTGATAGGATAATATCCATACGCCTACAAGGAACACCAGTTAATATGACTTATTCAAATTTATGTACCAACTACTAATGCCAAAGATGAAGAAATTGAAGATTTTTACCAACTTCTACAGTATGAAATTGATCAAACATGCAATCAAGACACATTGATAATTATGGGTAATTGGTTGGAATGCGAAAGTTGGAAACAAAGAAGAAGGATTGGTAGTTGGAAAATATGGCCTTGGTGATAGAAATGAAGCTGAAGATTGCATGATAGAATTTTGCAAGACCAATGACTTATTCATTGCAAATAACTTTTTCAACAACATAAACAGTGACTATACACGTGGATCTCACCGAATGGAATACACAGGAATCAAATCGACTACATCTGTGGAAAGAGATGATGGAGAAGTTCAATATCATCAGTCAGAGTACGCCAGAGGCAGACTGTGGGAAGACCATCAATTACTCATATGCAAGTTGAAGTTGAAGCTGAAGAAAATTAAAACAAGTCTACGAGAGCCAAAATACAACCTTGACTATGTCCTACCTGAATTTATAGGCCATGTCAAGAATAGATTTGACACATTGGACATTAATGGCCGAAGACCAAAGATGTTGTGCATGGCATCAAGGACATTATACATGAAGAGAGCAAAAGGTCACTAAGAAGACAGGAAAGAAAAAATACCAAAATGGATGTTAGAAGAAACTCTGAAACTTGCTCTTGGGCATAGACTAGTTAAAGCAAGCAGAAGAAATGATGAAATAAAAGAGCTGAACAGAAGATTTCAAAGGGCAGCTTGAGAAGACAAAGAAAAGTTTTATAATGAAATATGCAAAGACCTGGAGTTAAAAAGCCAAAAGGGAAGAGCACACTTGGCATTTCTCAAACTGAAAGAACTGAGAAAACATTGAAGCCTTGAGTTGCAATATCGAAGGTTTCTATCAGCAAAATATTGAATGATATAAGAAGCATCAAAAGAAGATGGAAAGAATATACAGATTCACTGTACTAAAAATAGTTGATGTTCAGCCATTTCAGGAGGCAACATATAATCAGCAACCAATGGTACTGAAGGAAGAACTCCAAGCTGCACTGAAGGTATTGGCGAAAAACAAGTCTCCAGGAATTGACAGAATACCAATAGAGATGTTTCAACAAACAGATGCAACCCTGGAAGTGCTCACCTGTCTTTACCAAGAAATTTGAAAGACAGCTACCTGGCCAACTGACTGGAAGAGATCCATATTTTTGCCCATTCCAAAGAAAGGTGATCCAACAGAATGTGGAAATTATTGAACAATATCATTAATATCACATGCAAGTAAAATTTTACTGAAGATAGTTCAAAAACGGTTGCAGCAGTACCTAGACAGGGAAGTGCCTGAAATTCAAGCTGGACTCAGAAGATGACATGGAAAAAGGCATGTCATTGCTGATGTCAGATGCATCTTGGCTTCAAGCAGAGAATACCAGAAAGATGCTTAACTATGTTTTATTGACTATGCAACGGCATTCTATTTTGTGGATCATAACAAATTATGGATAGCACTACAAAGAATAGAAATTCCAGAAGACTAAATTGTGCTTGTGAGGAACTTGTACATAGACCAAGAGGCAGTCATTTGAACAGAACAAGGGGATACTTTGTGGTTTAAAATCGGGAAAGGTGTGTGTCAGGGTTGTATCCTTTCACCATACTTACTCAATTTGTATGCTGAGCAAATAATCCAAGAAGCTAGACTATATGAAGAAGAACACAGCATCAAGATTGGAGGAAGACTCATTAAAAATCTGTGATACACAGGTGACACAACCTTGCTTGCTGAAAGAGAAGAGGACTTGAAGCACTTACTGATGAAGATCAAAGACTACAGCCTTCAGTATAGATTACACCTCAACATAAAGAAAGGAAAAATGCTCACAACTAGACCAATGAGCAACATCATGGTAAATGGAGAAAAGATTGAAGCTGTCAAGGATTTCATTTTACTTGGATCCGCACTCAATCCCATGGAATCACCAGTCAAGAAATCAAATGACATATTGCATTGGGCAAATCTGCTGCAAAAGACCTCTTTAAAGTTTTGAAAAACAAAGATGTCACTTTGAGGACTAAGATGAGCCTGACCTAAGCCATGATATTTTCAATCACCTGATATGCATGCGAAAGCTGGCCAGTGAATAAGACTACAGAAGTATTAATGTCTTTGAATTATGATGCTGGCGAAGAATACTAAATGTACCACGGACTGCCAGAAGAATGAACGAATCTGTCTTGAAGAAGTACAGCCAGAGTACTTCTTGGAAGCAAGGATGGCGAGACTTCATCTCATGTACCTTGGATGTGTTATCAGGAGGTGTCAGTCCATGGAGAAGGATTTCATACTTGGTGAAGTAGAGGGTCAGCAAAACGAGGACATCCCTTACTGGGATGTGCTGATACAGTGGCTGCAACAGTAGACTCAGAAATGGCAATGATTGTGAGGATGGTGCAAGACTGGGCACTGTTTTGTTCTGTTGTATATAGGGTCATTGTTAGTTGGAACCAACTCCATGACACCTAGCAACAACTATAACAATTTATTTTAGAGCTTAAGGTATGCTTGAAATTTGAAGAGAATAGCTGGTGTCTTCATTTTTCTCCTGAAATCGATGATATATTTGCTATTAGATTGATAGATAGGTAGGTATGTAGGTAGGTAAGTAGGTAGGTAGGGTGGTAGGTAGATAGGTAGGATAGTAGATAGGTATGTAGATAGATAGACATTTAGGTAGATAGGTAAATAGAAAGATATAAGATATAAGATAGGCAGTCCGACTCATGGTGACCTTATGTATAAAAGAACGAAATGTTACCTGGTTCAGTGTCATCTTCATGATAGCTAGCAAGTTCGAGTCCATCGTTAATGGCTATTGTGCCAATCTATCTCACCAAGGATTTCCCCCACTCTCGTTAGTCCTCTGTTTCAACAAACATGATGTCCTTCTCTAGCAATTGATCCGCATTGATCATGTATTCAAAGCAA